GTAGAGAGAGAGAGAGAGAGAGAGAGAGAGAGAGAGAGAGAGAGAGAGAGAGAGAGAAGAGAGAGGGAGGGAGGGAGAGAAAGCGAACCAGCTGCAAAGTTAACGCCCAAGCTTCATGTTATCCCCTATCCTGCGTGTTGGGGAAGAAATGGAATAAAAGGGAAAGATAGAAAGAGAATATTAAAACTAGGCTAATGATCCTTTCTCTAATTGTCCTTAAACGTTTATCAAGGGACAAATGGAACGGATGAAGGAAAGAATCGTAATATTAGAAAGAATGAGAGTATTATGCACGTAAACTGGGAATGATTTTCTATTGATGCGTGAGTTTTTTTTATTTTTTTTTATTTTTTTTTTTATTTTTTGTCATAAATAGATTATGGATGTGGATGCTAATTCAATTCTCGAATTTTTGTATTCTAATACTCTACTTTTGAAATTGTCAGACAAATTTTCTGTAATGGTTACAGAATTATTACAATTTTTATATTATTTCTGGTACGAAATCTAAAATAAATTGTATTATTTTTCTTTTAATATAATTATAACATTACTTTTTCTATTATCACAAGATTAAAATCAAAAAATTAATTTCTTTTATTTAAATAGGTAATATTTCTAACATTTGTATATATTTTTTTGCAAATTTAAATTTCATTGATCAATATATTATCAATGTAAAAGGATAATATATTGAATGATAAACAAGTTTAATTTTTTAAAATGCACGTATTATATGATAACGCAAACAACAACTGTAATTATGAAAAATCAATCATAGAGTGAATATTTCGTTTCGATCTTCCGTATAAATGAAATGTATATATGTATATATGGTTATAATTATTACATTCTATATGAATATCGGTTAAACAGTAACAGTTAAGGTCAGATAATTAATTATACCAATTTGGTTTAATGTATATTCTATATGATCCTGATCAAATTATGATTCATTGGCAAAATAAGAAATCTAATCTATATATATATGTATAATAAATAACAAAATAAATGAATGAACATATATCTATGAATGAAATTATTTTTTTGCAACGATATTACAATAAACATAATATAAATAGAATAAAAAAATGCAATTATAATATAATTTTAATTAGTATGCAATCTGAACTGCAATATTACATTCCTATATTCACCAATATTGACATAAATTATATTTATTAATATTTATTTTTGGAAATTGAAAAGAATTAAGTAACTATTATTTAATTCAATATAGTTCATAAAAAAACTACAATTTTATTAGAAAATTTATGAAAAATTTAAAACTATACAATATATGTAATCAAATATCAAAGTTTTATTTAAAGATTTTTGAACAGAAATATATATACTTTAAGTTACATATATTTTGTATAATTACATATACTTTAAGTTTATAGCCATCAAATTAAAAACAACATAGAAGCTGTTAAAAAAATTATTAAACATTTATATATATATTTTTTACCAGCACTTTATGAACTACATTTCATTTAACTAGGCATAGAATTTCACAGAAAAATTGTGGGAAAAATTATAGAACAATTTTTACAATTACTTCAATTAGCTACATTCCTTTTAAAAGAAACTAAGTTCTTCAACTTTGAGAGAGAAAATTTGTTCACCCTCCTACTACCTAATTAATGAATGAAAAATTTCCCCATATAAAAGCTTATAATTATTTTATCTCATCAAAGCTATTTAATTTATGAAAAGAATTATCCATCTGGTAAAAACATTTAATAAGATATCTTTGCCACAAAAATAACTGTGAGAATATATCTAGAAACAGTACTTATTTATGACCTCCAACAAGAATTGCTTGGTTACGTAAAGACATTAATGAATGATTATATGTATGATAAATGAAAATTATTGTATATTATTTCTGATGGATATAAAATATCTATAATCTTTGTTATAATTAAAAAATTCTTTAATACATAGAAATTCTCTTACATAAATATTTTCAACCTAAAAATCTGACATAATTTATTCAAAATCTAATAATGAAAATTATGTATACTAAAATTATGTATATTAAATCTCTTGATCTCTATCAGTTTTTTTTTCTTTTTTAATAGAAATTTAATAGATTCTTCTATTGGATTAGAAAAAGAAAAAGAGACAATGTCAATGATAACAACAAAGGTCAATATAATTGCATCAGTCGTGTTGGAGATTAAAAACAAAAAACAATCATTTGTTTCCATTAAGTCCACTTAATCCCCATCAAACGAAACGATTGACCATAGCAATTGAATTGCAATGTTACGACTTAATCTTAATACCGCAAATAATAATCGATAATATAATTTTAATAATAATTTATAATTAAGTTTTATAGTAATGTTAATTTAAAATACAACTTTCCTGAAAATTTTTCAAAAATAAATTTTTAATAACCTAAAAATATTTGATTTTACGTACTGCTGAAAGAAGCTGCATCGGGAATCGAAGAGATAAGTAAAATTGTCCCTAATATGACACTTAGTGTAGAAGTGGAAAACATTTTCTGTAACAAAAAAAATATTCATTTTTATAGTCGGTATTTCGTAATAATAAAAATGAGAATATTTATTTCTTAGAAATTTATCATTTCCAAGAAGATAATCAAGCATTATATTTGTATTACAAAATAATTCAACGTTTTAGAACAATTTGGAATCGATGTAATATAAAATATAATATAATAATATATAATAATAATAAAGAATAATTGCATATCAAAAAAGTCCTAGATGATTAACTATTAATGTAATAATATAAAATATATAAAAAAATATTATTGATCATTGAATGTTAAGTAAAGAGAAGAATTATAAAATGATCGACATATCAAATAACAATTAAAAATTTTGAAATAAAATAATAAATGGATCAAATATCAATCATAAAAACGAATAAAAAAGAGAAATTTAAATCTGACAATGAACACTAATTACGATTTGTAAATAGCCCGCGCAAATGTCTTTTTTCTCATCCATCCTTGTCTTATATTCTACATGATCATTCGTCATACCTATCCTTGGACATAACCTCAAACGCATTCGTAATAATGCATGATATATATTTTTCAATTAGTGCAATAATTGAATTAAATTGAAATAAATTGCTAACAATTTAAATATTTAATATTCAAAACTGTTGGTGATATCGAGTTTACGATTTTAATCCAGTGACCTTGATAAACTATAGAGAAATCACAAATTGCGTCGTTCGTCTTTATTACACTTAATCACTTTATTACAGTTATACCTTACGTTACGTACAAATAATTAACGTAAATTTTTAAACGAACACAAAATAATAATCTCGTATTAACAAATAAAGCAAACTTACCACAAAAATATCACTGATTACACGCGAAAACGTCCACTCCAACACGTAGTCAGTAGAACACTGAACATTCAGTGAAATGCTCTACCGATACTGACCTGACGTTAGCCGTGACTCAAACAAAGATGGACGACGAGATTGTATGAAAGATAAAGAGAGAAAGAGACTTGGAAAAAGAGACCGATATGGCGCGAATGTGACGTAAAAGGAAATACTATGTTGAGCGTAAATAATCGTTTTAATGATCAGAAAATAGAAAAAAGCGTGGGCTTTAAAGAGACCTTTAGAATAACTAACCTTTAAAAATATCTTTAAAATATGATATTAAACGTATGATATGATTTTCTATAAAATGAAAATACTTTATGAATATTAATTTAAAATTTATTACAATTAACCCGCCATTTTTGTTATACATTTTATATCTCCAATAAATTTTGTAATAATGATTAAATGATAAATTCTGAATATATTAATTTCCGAAATATAATAACAGGAGATATCGAAAATTCGAAGTAAAGATTGAATCATAGAATTGCATGGAATTATTATTCCATGACATCATTGTCTCGGCATAACGTTCGAAACAAAATTTTCTTAATCAAACAAACAAAGAAAATATTTTTTCATTTCACTACAGAATTTCATGAAAAAATTTCTGTTTCTCGTGAAGAATAAATCATATAAATTTATATAGTTCTTACAAACGTTACAGTATTACTTCTTCTATAATTTTATCGTTTTAATTTTTTTTTTTCATAATAAAAACTTTTATTCCATGTAAAATTGCATTATAATATAGGATCTTTTTACGTGATCTATTTCATATAGGAGTACCATATGCATAATTATATTTTTTATAAAGAAATTTATCTTATAATAAGTAAGTGATATCAATTTATTCTCTTTATTCTATGCATTGTGTTATGTCTTTTGAAGATCTTACTATATAATACTTGGAAATGCTTGAAAAATCCAATGGGAAAAAATAGTAAAAATTTTATTTCATTTATTTCATTCAGTATTGAATTATAATTAAATTATATTATAAATAATTTCAATTAATTCAATTTTATTAACTATTTATTTTTCCCATTTCTTAATTAAATTATTATTATATTTTTATAACTATTTTATAAATATTGTGATTTACTAAATCACAAGGGAACGATTAGCAACAACTATTAAAGTTACTAAAATCAAATATAACTCAAAATGTTCGAGTTAATAAAATTCTTATTTTCCCTCGTTTACTTTTAACTCTCATTTCTTCAATATAGTAATATTTTTCTTAAAAACATTTTTTGTCTCAAAAATTATATCCATGATATTTTTTCTTAATTTACCACGCAATCTCTCTCTCTCTC